ATGGCAGCGTGTGCTCAGCTGATCAGGGATCTGTGTGTGTCTGTGTTAGACTCACTCCATGACTGTGCTCAGCCCTGGTACTCTGAGCAACATGAACACACAGTTGATCAAAAGCGTCACCAAGATGAAAACACTGAATAATGTACGTTTGTTAAAGAAAAACTGGATGATACAGACAGACACAGACAGACACAGACAGACAGACAGGTGACCCTGTGATGTCATGAAGGATATGGATGGAGGAGGAGCTTGATGGCGAACGTCCTCAGTGGGAAACAGATGGACTCAGAATGAAACCTGTGGACGATGTTTCCTTCACTGAGAACCATGAAAGTCTGCAGGGAGACAGGTCAGGAGACAGACAGGTTACAGAGAGCGACACACAGACAGGTCAGAGAGAGAGAGACAGCTCAGACAGAGACCTTCTGTGATTGGTAGAAAGGATCCAGCTCCTCCAATGGGGTTGTGAGGAGTTCAGGGGGCGGGTCCCCATAGAAGAAGGGGAGGGGCTTCCCAGCTGCCATGTCAGTGGATGGTGCTTTCTCTGTTTCCTTGGAAACAAAGCTGAGTGAGCGCTACTGATCCCCAATCAGTACACTGAAACTGTTATGGACAGCTGAGAGGTGATCTATTGATCACATATCAGCATGTTGGTTCTGGCATTGATCAGTACCTTGGCTTCATGTTGTTCTTGGATCTCCTCCAGCGAGGCTGGTGTGAAGCGTCGGAAGACCTCCGTACCAACAGGGGGCAGTAGAGACGCCACCCGTTCATTCTTTAGCGCCGCTCGAACGTCGCTGTCGCCTAGCAACCGGCTCCTGTGGGGATGACAACAATAATAATCATCTTTATTTATGCAGCGAGTGTCAGAATCCGAGTTCGAAAGTGGTTCCACATGTTCAGACTTACAAAGAGACGGAAACGCAGTTTGGTGCGTAAAGACTCAGACGTGAAACACTTTAAAGAGAACTATTTGATTTCTGATGGTTCCAAACACTCTGTCTCCAGTCCGCTGGGCTCTGAACAGATGTCCCAGGACAGAACCGGTCCAAACGGTTATCCCCTCCTGAAGCACAGCAGGCCAGAGAGGAAACAGCCAGGATCAGGCCAGAGGCGGCATCCTCAGCACTCCAGGACGGTTCTATGGACATGACTGGGAGGTTTTTCTAGCAGCAGCCTCTCAGGGTGGTCAGACTGACGGTGAGGAGGACGCTGAGGCGGTAACCAGCTGCATCGCACAGTGTTCAGAGGACGTCACCGTCGTTCAGACCTTCACAGCAACAACATCAGCGCATCACATTCTACCAGTGTTGTCATGTAGCATTTTAAGAGGGTTACTGCAAAACATTTTTACAATGTTTTTAGGGAACGTTCTCCCAGAACATTCTGGGAATTTAAAGAAAACTTCTCGCTGAAAACATTGCAACAATGTTCCAGTCAACATTCTAAGAATGTTCTAAGAACCAAACATTTCTAGCTGGGTTGGATCACTGACATCAATCTCAGACTCCTGTGATAGTTAGTTTGCCAGCTGAGCCCAATTAAAGGAAACACTACTGAAGACGGACGTTCCACAAAATACGAAAACGTTCCATACTTCATGAAAACTTAAGCGTGCTCATCGTCCTGTTAAGAGATTTGTGTCCGACTCAGAGCACATGGGTTGGTTCAGATAAAGGCACAATGAGGAATGTTTCTGCCATGACAAAGCAGCAGACAGGTATCTGAAGCTGCTGGAGTCCCACCAACATCAAGGTGTAGGATCCTCCAGAGGCTTTCAGTGATGCATAAACCTTCTATTGGGCCACCCAGAACCATGCTCACAAGCAGAAACGGCTGCAGTGGGCCCAGAAATACATGAAGACTGATTTCAGACAGTCTTGTTCACTGATGAGTGCCGTGCAACCCTGGACGGTCCAGATGGACGGAGCAGGGGATCGTTGGTGGAAGGCCACCATGTCCCAACGAGGCTGTGACGTCAGCAGGGAGGTGGTGGAGTCACATTTAGGCTGGAATCATGGGCAGAGAGCTGGTCGGCCCCTTTAGGCTTCCTGGAGGTGTGAAAATGAACTCTGACCAGTATGTAGAGCTTCTGACTGTCCACTTTCTTCCATGGTACAAAGAGAAGAACGGTGCTCTTCGTTACAAAATCATCTTCATGCAGGACGACGCACCATCGCATGCTGCAGCAGTACCTCTGCACCATTGGCTGCTATGGGCATGAAAGGAGAAAGCCCCCCCAGTGGTGCTGCCTGGCTGTAGCTTCCTCCTGCACTACTGAGAAGACAGCAGTGAGGATTGAAGGACTGAATGGAGTGTGAGAGAGTTTAGACGTACTGTCCATGCGTCTGTCCTTGGCAAAGTTGTTGATCACAGCGCTGTAAAACTCCTCTGTCTTGACCTTCAATGTGATGAGCCTCTATGTCTCAATGGATATCAGAGCCAGAGATGTAAGATTTTTCATGCTTGGCTGTGGCACAGGACACGTTGTTCAAATCATAATATCCAGCATTAGTCCAGCCTGGTCAGTGCCGCCAAACAGCAAACGTGGAAAGCCGAACCGCCGGTTCAGTGCAGCACATCCACAGAGCCAATCCTTCCTTTTGTACCATTCACTTTGAAAAGTAGGAACAATTTTCTGTCCCTTCCGTTGCTGAAGCTCAGCTGTTGGTCTCCCATCATTCAAAAGTTGACGTTTTTCCTCAAAAGAAAGACGGGAACATTATTTGAACCTCTCCAGCAGTGTCGTTCTGCCGGTGAGCTGCCAGCTAGCTTGAGAGCGAAGTATCAATCCACCAATCCTCTGTGAACGTACGTAGAACATTGGCATAGCACGGCAACGTAAAAAAGGCAGCGTAGCGTTCTTTTTACATAAAGCATTTTTCTATGGGGCGCTGACTGCACATGCGCTAACACATATCGTTGCGATGACATGACGGGTAAAGGTGAAGCAGCACTGTGCCTTCAGGAGAGCGTTGGCCTTCATCGTAATACAGTGCAAGGGTGAGTTGCATGTGCAGCCTCTCTGCCTGACCAGCAGGACGCGGTGTTGAGTCATTTTTTATTGGGTTATGAAAAGCACTAAATGCCATCACACATCGGAAATTATCCATCCATCCATCCATCCATCCATCCATCCATCATCTCTACACTTTAATACTCACCAGGGTCATGGGGGGCGGAGTCTATCCCAGCTGACTCAGGGTGAAGGCAGGTTCACCTGGACAGGTAACCAGTCTATCACAGGGCTACACTTAGAGACAGACAACCAAGCACACTCACATTCACACCTACGGACAATTTACAATCACCAATTAACCTCAGCATGTTTCTGGACTGTGGGAGGAAGCCGGAGAACCCGGAGAGAACCCACGCTGCACGGGGAGAACATGGAGACTCCACGCAGGAAGATCCCAGTGTTGGGGTTTGAGATTTGAACTGTTATGTGGCAAGTCTACTTCCTGTGTTTGTTTGGCTGCTTTGTTTGTGGTTGTCATTTCAGGCTGGGTGGGGTCGTGGCTGGAGAGGGCTCACCTGTTCACCGCCGTACCTGTCCCTCATCGGCAATCAGCATTTCTCTAAGCCTGCTTCTCCCCATGCTTCAGCGCCAGATGATTCACTCTCCCCTGAGCGAGCCTCTCAGCCGGACATCTCCCTCAGCCCAGCCAGCAGCAACCCAACGGTCCCCCGCCAAAGGATTCACTCGTCACAAGCACAGTATCCCCGGAGCACAGCTGTCATATGTCTTATATTTAAAAAAGCTGAGCTTGAAAGTGGGACGTCTGCAAGTTCTTCTTTATTTACACCACTCTGAGTTTGGAAAGTAGTCACATCTTCATTTGGGGATGAAACCTGCTCGCACATATTGTAGCTGACAAATCAGCCATTCTTCCTTATTTTAATGAATACTTTGTTCCTTCAGGTTCTCTATTTGAATCCTCACGTCCACATCAATCTAATGTGCAGGAGGTTTGCCCTCAATCACCGCCTATTGACACGATGGCTTCAGGATCTGAATGACTCCTTTTGATGCAGCCGAGGTCCACAGGACTGTTCAGCAGTTGGATTTAAGTTAATCTGCCAGACCTGACAACCTCCAGTCTTTCTTTGTGAGGTCAGCTGCAGACTTTATAGCAGAACCTCTGTGTCATATTTTTAATCTTACTCTTTCTGAAAATGAGATTCTGAGAATATGGAAGTCTGCTTCTGTTCCTCCCCTGCAGAAAGCTGCTGATCCCTCCATAGTTAACAGCTACAGGCCCATCTCTGTGTTGTCTCCAAAGTTTTAGAAAAGTTGGTCAGTGAACAACTGAAATGTTTTTTAGATGCATATAGTCTTCTCTCACAACATCAGTCAGGTTTTCGTAAACAGCACTATTAAAGATTTCTCTTGACTAAAAAATGGTGAAAGCTGACCACGATAACCTCTCCGGCCAAAGACAGTCACTGGAGGTTTGATTTGTAACGTCTATTCACCTCTTCACAATCCATGGTTTTTCTGAATAAATAAACAATAATCCAAACACAAAATTAGTCACTAATCAACAGAAGGAAAAATAACACTAAACATCAACCAATAATTAAACTCCCCCAGAAATAAAGCAGAAATCGTCTTACTGGTCAGTCACACATGGATATTGGGAAGAGGTGTTCACAGCTCACAGACCAGCTTCAAATGTGTGTGACCAGCCCTTTTTTATCACACCTGTGTTGAGATGGTAATCAAGGCAGGCTTCGATGCACCAGCCCTTCAGAACACACCTGGATTGAGGCTTCAAGGCACAGCTGTTCACCAGAGGCAGCCATTTCCCCATTGCCAGCAGGGAATCTGTAACAGCACAGTACCATAGCTGCTGCTGTTAAAGTGGTAAACGACATCATAGAGGCACTAGACAGCCGAAAATACTGTGTAGCTCTTCTTCTAAGACTTCTTCTTCTTCTGACACAGTCGACCATGTCAGCCTGGCACAAGACTGGCTTATCGAACCTCTAATTATTTATCAGATAGAGCACAGTGTGTCCAGGCCCTGGGTCGTTTCCTCTTTCCTCCGTGTTCTAAAGGGTGTGCCTCAAGGTTCTATGTTAGAGCCTCTGTTGTTCACAATTTATGTGAATAGTCTGTGTGATAATTTGTCTAATGCTCCCATTTCTATGCTGATGATACAGTAATTTATTGATAGTCTTCTTCAATTTGAAAATCCCTTGAGTTCTTGCAGTCAGCCTTTGATACTGTTCAGTCCCCTTTGACTCAGGTTAAGTTAGTGCTGAATGCAGACAAATCAACGACGATGCTATTTTCAAATGGCAAGCAGCCCTCATCTCACCTTCCCAGGTAGTCAACTGCTCATGGGGTTGAGATTGAAATGGTCACATCTTATAAATACTTAAGCATTCTGCTTGATGAGAACCTGTCCTTTAAATTGCACATAGATAAAATTGTTTCTAAGCTGAAACTGAGATTGGGCTTCTTTTTTAGAAATAAATCATGTTTTTCATTGCGAGTCAGAAAACATTTGATCACCCAACTGTTTTACCCTTGGTGGACTACGGAGAGCTGCTTTTTATGAACACTCCTGATCAGTTTTCCAACAAACTGGATTCTGTATACCACTGTGCTTTGGTTGCAGATATCATGTACATCACTGTCCCTCATACGCCGTCGCACATTGTCCATCTTTGTATGTTTGTAGACGTTCTCACTGGCTGACTTTTACTTACAAAGCTATTCTTGGACTTCTGCCTTCATATTTGTGCCTACACATGTAGAAACCTCAGCCGACATGGCCTGCGCTCTCAGGACATCAGACAGTTGCAGGTCCCGAGAGTCAGAACCAAACTGGGCAAAGAGACCCGTCTTCCTGGAATGATGTGCAGACGGACTTGAGACAGACATATCCCACTCTGGTTTTTCTGTAGTGTGTAAACTGTATTTTATTTGTGTTTTGTGTGTTTGCTGTAATCCGTTTTGTGCTGCCCTCTTGGGCAGGTCACTCTTGAAAAAGAGGTTTTAAATCTCAGTGAGTTTTTTTACCTGGTTGAATAAAGGACATTGATTGATTGACTGATGCTTGTCACACGGTCAACATGTTTCTGGTCAGCGTCGGCCTCTGAGGAGTCCTGGGATCAACCCAGAACTTAATGGAGGGATTACATCTCTCATCTGGCCTGGAAACGCCTTACATCCTCCCTTCCTCAGTAACATTCAATAACGTAAAAAACAAGCTCATTAGCGAGGTAGCTAGTGCTATAATGAGTTATAGCCTAAAATTATTAGCCTAACTGAAAGTCAGTTAGTGCTACAGTAAGCTAACATAGCATAACATTACTACATTAACATAAAGTTAGCTAAGTACCTAGAGCTACAAGCTAGCATAATGCAATACTGTTGCCATGGTGATGGCGGCGCGCATAGACACACTGCCCCCTTCAGGAGACAACGAAAGTGAACGTTTTGAGTGTCTTGTCTGTCCCAGACATTCATTCCGCAAAATTTGTGGCCGGGAGACTTTGCTGGGCGTCAGGACAGCGAACAGCGCTGGAATTGCGGCGATTGGTTGTGATGTGGACGTACTGCACCAACACGGACTCCGATCGGAGACGATGCCGGCAGTTACACGACAGAGAAGGAAGCCCAAATGGTAAGAACGTAAACAAAGGAGGAGGAAGAGAGCAGGATCCATGCTAAGCTAAAGGCTAGCCCCTCCAGACCAGCAGGACCGTCCTCCTGCTCTCCAATGTCCGCTCCCTCCTTGACAGGCTCTGATCTATCAGGTGTCTTTGTTGTTGTTTGTTCAAACTCATAAAAAAACAGAAAACCCTGGTTTATATGTGCAGCAGCTGTTTGGCCTTTCAGCTCAGGAAACTAAACGTGTTGCTGATTAAACATCTGGTTGATCTGTGAAGTTCCCACAAGAGGACGTTCTGTCTCACGCATCTGTACAATGAAGGGTTTCAGTGAAGCCTGCAAACAGGGACTTTAGGAATGCATCCCTGAGGCACTGTTCAGAACATGTGTCGATGGATAAGGATTCCTCCAGAATAAGTCGACCCGACTCAAGGGAGCCAGAACCTGTGAAAACAGAACAGTCAGCAGATTCTCATTTTTCAGCTGGTCCTGGTCTGGTATCGTAGGGTTAGGGGTTATGAGGCTCACTTTTTTTATTCATCCGGAGCGCTGAATGGTTCTGATCCGTTTTTCAGCCTCATCGTGCTTCTTTCACAGCAGCGAGCTGATGAAACAACGAGTCACACCTGAAGAACCACGGACACCTGTGAAGCCAAATGACCTGAACCTGCAGCTGCTCTGAAATTAGGGATGAAGTTCTGCAGGAGTTCTGCTCAGTCCAACATGGAGACAGATGGTCGGATACAAAACGTGACTTTAAATGAAGGAGAAAAGTGAACATGAAGCAGCTGGAGCCTCTGAAGGCTGTAAGGCCCCGATCAATAACACCCCCCCTCCCCCGCCCGCCACGCCTTTTACTGTTTCTGTTGAGTCAC